GAACAAGTCTGATGAAAGCAGAAAATGAGCTGATTTAGTAAATTTGCCAGCCAGGAGGAATTGTGACCAGAGCCAAGTTTCATGGAGAGAGCGGCAAATGAAGGCTGGTAGCAGTGGGTGTTGTGAGTGTGGCCGTCGGAGATGGAGGATGGGGCTAAAAGTCAGGAGATTGGGATTCCAGTCTGGGCTCTGAAATCAGCGCTCTCTGTTCCTTGGGCTAGTGGGCTTCCCTCCTGAGCATCTGCTTGCTCCTTGCTCAACCTCAGAGCGCTCACTGAATGAATTCTGAGGGCTCCTTGAGCTGAATTTCTATGTGGTATTTCCTAGAGCATCACAGGAGTTACATGACTGAAAAATGCCCCAAGACATTAAAAATTTCCATGTGTAAACCAAAGGATATAAGTATAGACTAAAATGATGAAGAAATGAGATTCAGAGGACTTTTTGGGTGATTCCTGCTAGTGAAATAGGAAAGAAATCTAAAGCAGCCTAAGGACATTATTTAGGGGTGAGGGACATCTCCAAAGAAAGTGCTTCCTAAATGAGTTCTTTGATCTTGTTTGGTGAGGGGTCCCTGGGATGGCAAATTCTCTCAGATATTGTGCCTTCTTTTGTAGGTAGGATGAGGCAAAGCACTTTTACCCCTCCTGGCAGTAGACTGTAATCACAGGAAAGATTTTTAGGCTGTTGGCATCCTTGTGGCTGCAAGTTTGAAAAAAGAAATTGTACCATCGTAGTACCGGATTTGTTAATTCCTTTCCTTTCCTTCCCTTTTTTTTTTAAAAAAACTTTTTTAGTGCCATATTTTGCTCTAAGCTCAGGTAGCCCTGGTTTAACTCTGTCACAGAGACAAGATGTTAATGTAGGGCCCCCGGTGGGCGTCTACTCCTCCGATGGAAGGGAGATCTCTTGAAGTCTGGCAGAAACTGACACATAGGGATTGATTTCTCCAAGGGAGTTCCCAATACGACCTACCAGACTGTATCTATTTCCATTATTTCATTTCTTTCATGGGGGTCCTGGGCCAATAAATCATCCCAATTATACCCTCCAACTCCAGAGGTTATGCAGGACACCCCTACTCTGAAGTTCAAAAATATCTTCTTTGTGGCTAACCTCTTTGCTAAACTCAGGCACCATTCCTTGTCAGGTCTTTGAAGGGGAAAAAGGAGAATTCTAAGTTTTGCATGGTAACCAGTCCTTAAGGTGGCCTATACCACAATCAGTCCCCAGGGACCTCCCCCCACCCCCTGGTATTCATACACTTGTGTGGTTCCTTCCCACATTGCACCAGGGTGATCGTCATTGTTGTTTGTGGTGAATAACATATAACAGAAGCAGGTGGGGGTGCGTCAGCTAGCAAGTTGTGAAGTCACTCGGGCAGCCTATGCGAGGCTCTCATGATGAAGAACCAAAGTCTCAGCAACAGCCAGGGAAACACTGAGGCCTGACAACAACTTCGTGAGTAAGCTTGGGAGTGAATTCTTCCTCCGGTTGAGGCTTCAGATGAGACTGCAGCCCTGACTGACAGCTTGACTCCAATCTCATGACAGACCCTGAGCCTGGCTCCAACCAGCTGAGCCATTCCCAGGTTCCCAACCTTCAGAGATTTTGTGAGATAATACAGGTTTGTTGTTTTCTGGTGCTGGAGTTTCAGGGTAATTTGTTTTGTAGCAATAGATAAACTCTGTGCTTTGCTTTTGATTTTTGAGTAGAGATAGAGTCAAGAAGACATTTGCTATATGGAATGCCCACATATGCTGTGTGAAATGACAAATCAATATTTGTCTATCTTTTGCCAGGCTCTGATCTAGGTCCCTGAATTCCTAGATTTATTTGAAAATAGGAATCACCTGGGGTGCTGGTTTAACATAGAGATTTCTAGGCCCCTTCCCTGGGTTCGGGGTGAGACCAAGGAACCAGTACGTTTAACTAGCACCCCAGATAATCCTGTCATCAGGCAAGCCTGAGAAATATTGCAAGAAAGGACTCAAAAAATGAACAAGACATAGCCCCTCTTCAGGTAACAGTGCAAAGTAGAAAGCAAATTGGTTGGTTAAGATCTCATGGAGGAAGATAGGGAAAGAATCACAGAGTGATAGTAACAGCTGGCATTTATCAGGTGCCTGCTAAGCATCAGGCATTGTGCCAAACACTTTACCTGTTTTACCTTATTTAATCCTCACAACAACCTTATGCAATAGGAGCTACTGCCATCTGTAACTTACAAATGGGAAAGCTCAGCTTTGGTTACCATACTGCCCAGGTCACACAGCTCCTGTGTACAGAGCTAGGTGGAAAGGAGGTGGGTGACACCATATGCCATTCTCTTAACTGCTATCAAGTTCCATGTCCCAGCAGATGTGAAAGGGTTGTGACATCTTTGCAAATGGCAGGAGTTTTGTGCAAATGACAGGAGAAGGTGTTCAGGGAGGGATATGGGCCCGGGGAAGATAACACATGAAGTCCTGGAACCTGGCAGTGACTTCCCAATATAAACTCAACTCGTTTTGTAAATGAGGAAAGGGAGCTCCAGAAAGTTTATGGGACTTGTCTGAGTGGCAAAGAAGAGTAGAGATGCAGAACCTGAGCAGCCCCCTTTCCATTGTGGATAGTTGGAGGTCAAACTGGGATTGGCCTTGGATGCCTTGCTAATGAGGACTGAGCTGTTCTGTAGATCATTTTAACCATTTTAAGTGTACAATTCAATGACGTTAAGTGCATCCATCTTCAGAACTTTTTCATCATCTCAAACAGAAACTCTGTATCCACTAAACAATAACTTCCCATTCCTCCCCCTCACCCCGTACATACCATTCTACTTTCCGACTCTGAATTTGCCTATTGCAGCTACCTCATATATGTGGAATCATACACTATTTGTTTTTTGTGTGTCTGACTTATTTCACTTAACATGATGTTTTCAGGATTCACCCACATTGTAGCATGAATCAATAGTTCATTCCTCCCCCCCCATTTCTTTATTGTGGTGAAATACACATAATATTTACTATCTTAACTGTTTTGCAGTGTACAGTTCAGTGAATTAAGCACATTCACATTGCTGTGCAACCATCACCACCATCCATGTCCAGGATTCTCTTCATCTTGCAAAGCTGAAACTCTGTACTCATTAAACAGTCACGCCCCCTTCCTCTAACCCCCCCAGCCACTAGTAACCACCATTCCACTTTCTGTCTCTTTGGTTTGGACTACACTTTGTATCTCATATAAGTAGAATTATACAGTATTTGTCTTTTTGTGACTGGCTTATTTCACTTAGCATAATGTCCTCAAGTTTCATCCATATTGTATCATATGTCGTATTTTCCTCCCTTTTGGAGGCTGACTTATATCCCGTTGATTGTGTACATCACATTTTGTTTATCCATCCATCTGTTGATGCATCCTTGGGTGGTTTCCACCTTTTGGCTATTGCGAATAATGCTGCTATGAACATAGGTGTATAAATAGTTCTTTGAGACCCTGCTTTCAGTGATTGTGAGTGTATATCCAGAAATGAGGTTGCCGATCCTACGATAATTCTATTTTTTTTTTAAAAGATTTTATTTATTTATTTGAGAGAGAGAGTGAGAGAGAGAAAGAGCACAAGAGGGGGGAGCGGGAGAGGGAGAAGCAGACTCCCCGCCGAGCAGGGAGCCCGATGCGGGACTCGATCCCGGGACTCCAGGATCATGACCTGAGCCGAAGGCAGTCGCTTAACCAACTGAGCCACCCAGGCGCCCGATAATTCTATTTTTTAACTTTTGAGGAACTGTCATACTGTTTTCCACAGTGACTGTCTCATTTTACATTCCTACCATCAGTGCACCAGGGTTCCAATGTCTCTACATCCTCACCAACACCTGTACTTCATTATTTTTTTAAAGATGAGAAATATTCTCAGGTTATGCCACATTAAAAAAAAAAAACGATTCATCAGTTGATGGACATTTGGGTTGTTTCCATCTTTTAGCTATTGTGAATACTACTACTATGAACACTGGTACACAAGAATCTGAGTTTCTTTCTTTCTTTCTTTCTTTCTTTCTTTCTTTCTTTCTTCCTTCCTTCTTTATTTTTGAAAGTGAAATTTCTGGATCATAGGATAATTCTATATTTAACTTTTTGAGAAATCTAGACTTTGGAAGGAGATCCGTGCTCTGTTAAGTTGGCCCTGGTCATCCTAGCCTTCTTCTGCACAGATACGGGTGAGCGGGGGACTCCTCCCTCTCTCCAGCATCCACACTGTCCCCATCCCCTCACTTCATCGCTTTCGGGAAAGCAGTTCTCTGAGCCTCTTTCACACAGAGGTGCAAGCTGCTGAAATGAAGCTGACCCTGGTGTGCAGCTGGGCTTGCCCGAGAGAGCGATGTTTAGGTCCGTCCCAGCGCCTCCAGCGAGGGCGGTGCTGTGGGCGGGAGGGGAGGCTCCTCCCGGTTCTTTGAAATCCCACCAGCTAAGCGGGCCGTGTCCGCCCTCTCCCGCGGCCGGAGCTGACCAGGTGAGCGGGCCCACAAGTCCCGTGCCCCCGGGCGGGCACAGCGGGCGGGCGGTGCTCCTTGCTCGGATCCGCGCTGAGCCCTGCTTTGAGCGCCAGCGCCCCCGATCCTGCCCGCGGCGGTCGTTCCGGAGCCTGAGCGCGGGGAGCGCGCGCCGCCCGGGGCCCGACTCCCTCCGGCGTGTCCTCGCCGCCAGTTGTCGCCTCTGCGTCCCCGCCTCTCCGGTCCTGGCGCGATTCCCGGGTCCCCAGCCGCGCGCCGGCCCAGCGACCCCGACGTGCCCAGCCCGACCCTGCCTCCCCCCACCCGCCTAACCCCTCCCCGGAGCAGGGACCCCAGGACGTCCGGGAGCCCTGCGGACTCGGCCTGAGCAAGCCTCTTCGAATCAGCTGGCGGTGCTCTGGGGCCCCGCGGCCACCGGGGGCGGGGACCGCCAGTGCGGGGCGGGCCCGGGCCGGGGGTGGCCCTGCCTCCGGGCCCGCGTTCCTAGGATCTGTGGCGGCGGCGCGAGCGCAACTCCAGCCCGAGCCGGGAGAGAGCCCGGAGAAGAGGAGGAAGAGAGGGGACCGCTCCGGTCCCTGCGGGCCTCTGGGAGCAGCAGTTCGTGCCCCCGGGCCCGGATAGAGAACCGGGACCTCGTCCGCCCGCCAGGATGCCGCAGGTACCGAGCGCGCACTCCCGGAGAGATGCTCCGAGGACCCCACGCGGCACGCGCGGTCGCGGGGTGCGGGGGCTTCTGAGGGGGGAGAAGCTTTTCAAGAGACTTGCTTTCGCGCTCATTTCCTCACGGGAGCCGGGCTACCCGTCCCTCTGCCCTTGGAGTAGCCTCGGCGACTCGGTGGAAAAAGGTGGGAGCCCCAGAGGGCTTCTCAGCCCAGGCTGCAGAGAGGCTTCCAGTGATCCGCAGGGTCTGGCCACGGGGCGAGCACTAAACGACAATGCGCCAGGGGACACTGGGTGGGAAAGGAATGGGGTTCCTCTTTGAGAGGTAAGAGTACAGGAGAAGAGATCGCAGGACAATTTCTCCCCGAGTGCTAATCTCCCAACACTCCCTGCGCCCCAAGAAGTTTATATTACCTTTTGTTTTTAAAACCTGACTTGGAGTCTTCCAGGTAGCATGCTTGAAAGGTACCCCTGGTTGGGGGGGGGGGGACGTGCCTCAGAGACACATGGGGCCTGCAAGGGGAGAGGACTGTCCCACCAGGATTGCAGCTGTACCTGTGTGGACCCCAAGACTTGGCCCCCTCTGACCTTTCAGCTCACGCTTGTGCTCACACCTGACAGGGGCATAGGGCAGGGACTGAGAGGGACAGAACTGATGGCTCAGAGGAAGGGAAAAATATAAGAAAAATGGGGGTGAGGAGTAGGGGGAGAGAGGCAAGTAGTGGCTGAGCCTCATTGGGGTGCAGAGCGACTTTAACCCGGGTCCTCCAAAGACAGGCTCTGGAGATCTCACTGCTGAGGAGTGTGGGCAGCAGGCTTTCCCGGGGCACAGGGGTTGCTAGGTGTCTCCGGTTCCCAGGAACCTCAGGTTTTCCGTGCTTGCCTGCCCTCCCCCGTGTTCCTGACATTTGAGGTCCTCTCCAATCCTCAGCTCCCTTACATCCCAGCAAGTTGGTCTGATGTTTTCAGGCTCTGGGCCGGACTGGGACTGCAAGGAGAGGGCATTGGTTCCTCTTGGTTTTGGATCCCCAGCAGGGTAGGCCCCCCCCCCAACCCCGCCCTCAGCCGCCATGTGCTTCGGTGGAGTCATCTGGTCAGGATTCCCCTCCCCTTCCTTGTGGCTGACTGAGGAGGCCTGAGCACTCAATAGTAATTCTTTGCAGTCCTAGGGTGTAACACCCTCCCTCTCTAGGGAGCTCCGTGCTTTACAGATGTTATTGATCTGCTGCCTGGAGGATGTTGAAACCCTGAGTGTTTAAGCTATTTACCTCAGGGCACACAGCCAGTCAAGGAAGGATTTTGCTCCAGAGCCCCCCTTCTAACCTACTCAGGGATTTAGGCTGTGATGTCAACCCTGCAGCCTCTGCCGGGGGACAGGCCTTGGTAAATGCTGTGCCGGACTACCAGGGTCGCAGCGGACTTGGGTGTGGGGACAGGAAACCAGTGAGCAGAGGAAAAAGGGGTCTGCTAGATAGGCTCTGGGATTTTAGAGCTGTGTTTTGCCAGAGGAGGGAGACCAGCTCAGGGGGAGCAGACACGGTTGTCTCATACACGGTTGTCTCATACACGGCTGATGGATGATATTCAGCATAATTTCTCTTAAGCCCCACAGAATCGGACAATTTCACAAAGACCAAGTTCAAGCTGTTAGGACGGGGAGTAGAGTTTGGAGCAGGGCACTTCCATTCTCTTTAGCTTCGCCACACTCAACTTTGGTCCTTGAGCAAACCTGCAGCATTTCAGATCTTCAGTAGAAACGAAATACACTGAGCCGGCGCCTGGTTGTCTCTACAGCAATGCAGCCTCCCCTGTAGGAGTGGGTCTGTGGTTTTTGTGCATCTGTTTTCTCTCCCTGGTTCCTTTATTTCCGCTCCATCACTCAGTGTTCATTCTGAGCAGGTGGCTAATGGGTCTGCTTGGGTTACAGGATGGTTTTGAATTTGGCCAGTTCACTCACATGTGTAGCCAACTGCTCGTATGTCTTTCAGAGGCTTAGGATGGAGCTCAGATACTGTCCCCCAAGGATGCTGGCAGACACATTCTGACTCATTAAAGGAGAGCTGAGTGTAAGCAGAGAGGGGAGAAGACATCAGCCTCCCACACATCGCCTCAGAGGAATTCTAAGGAGCGCTGCTCAGAGCACCACCTGGCCCGATGGAGATCACAGCAGGGGTCATGGATGAGGACGCCAGCAACACCTCCACCACCTTCCTTTCTGTGCCGGCCCCCCCTGGAGCCCACGCTGCTTCCTTCCCGTTCAACTTCAGCTATGGTGACTATGATATGCCTTTGGATGAAGAGGAAGATGTGACCAATTCCCGTACTTTCTTTGCTGCCAAGATCATCATTGGCATGGCCCTAGTGGGCATCATGCTGGTCTGTGGCATTGGCAACTTCATCTTCATTGCTGCTCTGGCCCGCTACAAGAAGCTGCGCAACCTTACCAACCTGCTCATCGCCAACCTGGCCATCTCTGATTTTCTGGTGGCCATTGTCTGCTGCCCCTTTGAGATGGATTACTATGTGGTGCGGCAGCTGTCCTGGGAGCACGGCCATGTCATGTGCGCCTCTGTCAACTACCTGCGTACTGTCTCTCTCTATGTCTCCACCAATGCCCTGCTGGCCATCGCCATCGACAGGTGAGTAAGGGGGCACAGAGACAATAGGAAAGGGGCATTGGAACTGTCCCTTCCTTTACAACAGGTGTGGACTGATGAGAGAGATCTTTATTCTCCATCCATGTGGATGCATGGGGGGTTAAAAAGTGGGGCCATTGACTGAATAGTAAGGAGAGTTCTAGTTTCCCAGCTGTGGGCAGGGACAGTGGAGCTCCCCAGAGTTGGGCAGTTGGGAAGGCTTTTGATCCCTCTGCTACGGACATGCGCCTAGATGTATCCGGTCAAGGTCTAGAGGTACATAGGTAAGCGAAGCGTGGAAGGACAAGTTCAAGTTCCAGGCGGGTACCTCTTGAGTCAACTTAGAAATCCTGAGGAAGATTTTCTCAAAATACAGGCAGCCCTTCCCCAACCCCCAGCACCAGCTGATTTTAAAATAAGATTGATGATTTGTTTTGAACAAAATAGAAAAAAGAAAAAGGATAAAAGGTAACACACTTTTACTTGTTCTTTTTTGTTGTTGCATTAATCACTTTGCTCCTTTCCATATATTTGCACATGACGGTATAGAAGACCTGTTTCTAGTGATGGGAAATCAAAGCAATAAGAGCAGTCTATGTAGATCTTTCTTCTGTTGTGTTTAGTCTCCTCGTTTAGGACAATCACTTGTGCTAAGAACCAGGATGGGTTTTGTTCCCTCAGGACAATCTTTGCAAACCTCTCTGCCCAAAGTTTACTCACATTTACGAAGCACCTTGGTATAGTCCAGAGCCAGTTGCCTGGAGGGTCAGGACCAATGTGTACTTGGATCTGAACAGCCCGTCTCTCTCCCTGAACCCAGAGAGCCCAGAGCCCAGATGCCCTCCCAGTTTCGTGGCCCTAGGGCTCTGGTGGAGTTTAGCCTGCCCTTCGCCATCAGGACATCCCAGGGCAGTGTTCCAGGGAAGAGCACAGCAGATCAAACCTGTTTCCTGAAGCCAAAGGCAGAACAACCAGAGATTGGATAACCTGGAAACAGGCCACTACCCAGGACAGGGAGTCAACCCTATTCTCAAGAAGAACCCTGGCTTTAAAAGCATTAAGGGTTGGGGCCTTTGTCACCTTTCTCCTGGGAGGAGTGATAGGGAGTTCACCACTTAACCAGCCCCAGCTCTGTCCCCTGTGGAAAGAAGGTGCTCGGAGTTGTCATCCCTGCAGAGGGCTACTTTGGCCAGGGTCCTCCATAGGAGTCCGGGAGCTCCACGACATTTTAGCCACCCAGGAACAGACCCTGAGTGAATCAAGAAAGGGACAGTCAAGTAGAGTATCTGTCCCTAAGTCCCTTTCAGGGCGGTCAAGGAAGAGCTCCAGGAACCTTGTCTCTGATCTTTCTGAAAGTAGAGGCTGAAAGCATAGAGGGTCCTTTCCCGAAGTTTCACTCCAGCAAGACATCTTTGCGGAGGGGGTGCTCCCAGCCACTAGAAGTGGGGTAGGTTACTGCCTGCTTTGGGGCAGGCCCGTGTTCCCTAGGTGAGATCCATTTTAGGATGTAGGGGCCCATTGTCGGAAGGGGTCACATGGCAGGAGGGCGTGGCTTCAAGGGGGACAGAGGCCAGGATAAGTTAAGGGGCCTTGGGTTATTGTGAACATGTAAGAGGTGATGTCTGTGTCAATCAATCCACCTCGAGCTATTGCATTTTTTCACATTCGTATCCTACTTATGTACCAAACTCAGCTGTCTAAAATCCTGCAGGCATTTCTCTTGCAGTGTGAGTTTATGTAATGCAATTTAGATACAATAAAAAAGTTCATTGGAGAACGTGTTTTGCATCGTGGGACTGCTAGTGTTTACAGTGGGGTTGTGATTGGAGACTTGGAAGCCAGACACTGGAGGAAAGCACTGTTGGCCGGCACAGGCCGTCCGGGACCTTGGCCAACTAACTGGCCGCTCCAAGGTGTGAAGTTACTTTACTCATGTTTGTGATCCTTGCTTCAAAGTATCTGTATGCGTTTTTACCATCTAATTTCACTTTTGTGGTCAGGACCCCACTGGTTTTTGTCTGGCCTTGTGTGTTGTTCAGGATGTGATCAGGGATTTTCAGGTTCTATTTGGTTAGTTTGGGACAACTCATGTTTATCGCGATCTAACAAATACACTCCAGTTATAAAAATGCCTTTATTTCTGTTTAATGAAATTGTAGGGGTGGTGTTAGTGGTTATTCTGCCACTGCTGCTGCTGTACCTGCTAGCGGCTGGGCCCCGTGTGAGTTCTTTAACGCCTCTCTGCCTCGGTGTTCTCATGTGTACAATGGGAATAAGAAGAAGACTGAAGGATGGGTTGCCTTGAGGTTTAAAGGAAGTCATACATGTAATTGTTTGGAACACGGCTTAAACTGGAGTAAGCAACAGATAAACAGTGGATCTTAGAATTTTTAAATGAACGCTTCCAGGAACAACAACGAAACAAATACAAGTAAACTAATGGAAGTTTTCTATTGAAGTGATTCATTTTCATTGACGTGATTGTTTTTAGGATGTGATGTTTAAAAAAGGATAGTGCAAGATTTCTAAGAAATGCAGTTATGACACTGTAGCAGAACAGAACTACTTACGTTCTAGCTTCTCTGTTTCTGAGATTGGTTCTGTGGTTCTCGCAGATATCTACGCTAGCACGGCTCTGTTGTCACGGCTGCTCTCTCCCTTTCTCCAGCATGCCTTTGGTTTAAAGGACCTGTCAGTGCCTACT